GTTTGAGCTGACAACACAAGTGCATTTGCTGGACTGACTTCAACCAGTGTTGTCAGCTCTTCAGGGGTCAGGAATGAATTATGTACAAAGTGCTAGAGACAGGGGTGAGTAATGTACAGAGTGCAGGGGTCAGGAGTGAGTAGACAGGGGTGAGTAATGTGCAGGGGTCAGGAGTGAGTAGACACAGGGTGAGTAATGTACAGAGTGCAGGGGTCAGGAGTGAGTAGACAGGAGTGAGTAATGTATAGTAAGTGCAGGGGTCAGGAGTGAGTAGACAGGGGGGTGAGTAATGTACAGAGTGCAGGGCAGGGTCAGGAGTGAGTAGACATGGGATGTGTGAGTAATGTGCACCCCTGCCACCTGGGTCAGGAGTGTGTAGACAGGGGTGAGAAATGTACAGAGTGCAGGGCAGAGGCATCCCTAGAACCTCTCTTTAGGGCTCCAGTACAAAAAAACAAAGGGCCCACGATTACCCCATGTATGGAAAGAGCTCTTAGGAGATTGTAAATCCCCAAAATAGGAAAATCTCGAATGTGTGTATATATGCGTGATTTTGCGTACCCCTGCCACCCTGTAGAAGTATATCTGCTTTAGGCTGGTGGGAAAGTGGTTTAACAGGCTGAGTGACAATACTATGTACAGCCTTCCTGCTGGAATTCTTCTTCCCCTGATTACCTTTTATGGGGCCCAATACAGAAGCATTGCCTGTACACCCCTCCAGCTCCCTCCCCATCGGCAGCCCTACCTCTCTACCTACACTGACCAGCAAAATGAAGGTGCCATTGCCTTGATTACCAAGTATTAGCTTGCCTACACACTGTATGTATGGAAAGAGCTCTTGGGAGATTGTAAATCTGCGGTATTGTCTATAACAGTAGGAAATGACCTTTCAACAATCCTGGTAATGCTGTTACAGGGAGTTATAAACAATGTATAAAAATATGGGGCATGCTCATAAGGAGGGGGGGTGGGGGAGAGGCTTTGGGCTAAATTTGGGCAATACCTAGATATACCCTTTAAAAAGTGAGGCCAACACACAAAATAAAAGGTTGTATTTATAAAAAAAATAAGTCCATACTGCAGCAGTTAGTCCATCGAAACTGCATGTAAATTTATTCTGAGAGAATGGGGCAAAATCGAATGTTCTCAGGCTATTTCCTCTGCACTTCAAATGCACTTCAAATGTGTGAATGAAATGCCTCGTTATGGCCACTAAATGGAGCTGAAGAACATTTATTTATTTATTTTTTAAGATGGCAGTTGGTATTTCCCCCGGTCCCACATTCTCAATCTGCAGGGAATGTAGCCTGAGAACATTTGATTTGACTCATTCGCACAGGACAAACTTGTATTCACTTTTGATGGACAAACACATCTGCATTTTGTTTTTCCTGTAAATCCATCCCAATGTATGAACCCAAAATGTCCCTGTCATGAAAAAAGCTATTCCATACCACTTCCAGTGCCTGATCCACCAAATGTGGCACTCATGATGAATAGCCAAAGTCTTCAGAAAGTGACACTTTCAGATATGTCAGTCTTCTGTTCTCCATGCTGTTCCCAATGGTTCTTTACTACAGGACATTATAGAGATGTAGGGGGTCATCCACGGGTACAGCACCCTGGGAGCATCCAATCACATCTGATCTTGTACACCAGTTTTTGGGGGTTTTTTTATGCTACGCCAACAATGATTTAGGATTGGTGCACACTGAAGGGTGTGACCGACCGTAGGTGTATTTCCATGCAACATGCGTAGGGCAGCTGATTTAGTCTGTTCTACACGGGGGAAGCGTGGAAAAAGATGTGAACTGTTTTATGAAAATTTGCGACTGAATGCATGGGGGGCAATTAATGGAACCACCGCATATCTGCTAAATGACAGGGCATTTCTGGAATGTACGCAATTTTGGATGCATTCCTGACATGCAGTAATGTGAACCTGGCCTTGGGGGTTGGCTGGAGGAACCTGGCCTTGGGGGTTGGCTGGAGGAACCTGGCCTTGGGGGTTGGCTGGAGGAACCAAGAAGCACAGTCAGAACCAAGAGAGTGGGTGACTGGGGCTTGCTAGAAAAGGTGTATAGCAGGGGTGTATTTACCACAAGGCAAACAAGGCAATTGCCTAGGGCGGCATTTTTTCAGGGGGGCAGCAGCATTTTTCAGGGGAGCAGCGCCACCCCCTGAAAGAAAGGATGGAAGAAGGGACACACGCAGCACAGGGACCAGGTGGGATCTGAGAGAGGCTGCGGGCTGCTTGATGGTGTATGCAGAGCCTGACTCTTGTTCCAGGAGATGTCCGGAGCTGTGAAGGTTGTGTCTTGTCTCTTCTTGGGGTGTTGGGGTGGGGGGGTTGTGGTAGTGGAAGGCTGTCTCTGGTGGGGGTGGGGGGGTGGGCTGGGATGTTGTTGCTCAATGTCAGGCTCTCTTCGTGGGGGAGGGAGGTACTGGTCAGTGTCTGGGTCTCTCCATGGGGGGGGGGAGACAATTTTTGTGTTGCCTAGGGCAGCACAAAAGCTAAATACACCACTGGTGTATAGCCATGTGCAAGGGGTTCATCCAGAATTTCTGGGACCAGGCTAACTCATCACATGAGCACACAGACTTGGGAGATTACTAGGAGCCAATTTTGCTGTTCAGCAATGCTCCTGAGATAATGGGTAGAGTGAGCGGGGGTTGGACCTCATAGGCGTGCTTCTGCTCCTTCACTGTCCAATCAGGAGGATGAGGGTGTGTTGTTGATAAAGCTATGCTGCTGTTGCAGTGGAAGTAGGGGGCCCGGCTGTGCTGTCTGGCAGGGGTGTCTGGATCACAGAACTAGCTGTACAGGATTCCAAACAAAGTTTCCAGATAAATTGGTTCCTATAGATGTACTCATTCTTTATTTTCCAATGTTTTATCTTTAGTATTTAAAATTTTGTATTCAAATGAAAAATTCTAGTGAAAAATAATCGGTGTTTTGCAATTCAGACTTCGTGTTACTAAACCCCGGACCCTGCATTCACTATATCCGCTCTCCCCGGACCCTGCATTCACTATATCCGCTCTCCCCGGACCCTGCATTCACTATATCCGCTCTCCCCGGACCCTGCATTCACTATATCCGGTCTCCCTGGACCCTGCATTCACTATATCCGCTCTCCCGGACCCTGCATTCACTATATCTGGACCCTGCATTCACTGGACCCTGCATTCACTATATCCGCTCTCCCGGACCCCGCATTCACACAATATCCGGTCTCTCCCGGACCCTGCATTCACTATATCCGGTCTCCCTGGACCCTGCATTCACTATATCCGGTCTCCCCGGACCCTGCATTCACTATATTCTCCCCGGACCCTGCATTCACTATATCGGTCTCCCCGGACCCTGCATTCACTATATCCGGTCTCCCCGGACCCTGCATTCACTATATCCGGTCTCCCCGGACCCTGCATTCACTATATCCGGTCTCCCCGGACCCTGCATTCACTAGATCCGCTCTCCCCGGACCCTGCATTCACTATATCCGGTCTCCCCGGACCCTGCATTCACTATATCTGGTCTCCCCGGACCCTGCATTCACTATATCCGGTCTCCCCGGACCCTGCATTCACTAGATCCGCTCTCCCCGGACCCTGCATTCACTAGATCCGCTCTCCCCGGACCCTGCATTCACTAGATCCGGTCTCCCCGGACCCTGCATTCACTATATCTGGTCTCCCCAGACCCTGCATTCACTATATCCGCTCTCCCCGGACCCTGCATTCACTATATCCGCTCTCCCCGGACCCTGCATTCACTAGATCCGGTCTCCCCGGACCCTGCATTCACTAGATCCGGTCTCCCCGGACCCTGCATTCACTATATCTGGTCTCCCCGGACCCTGCATTCACTATATCCGCTCTCCCCGGACCCTGCATTCACTGTATCCGGTCTCCCTGGACCCTGCATTCACTATATCTGCTGCTCTCCCAGGACCCCGCATTCGCTATATCTGCTCTCCCAGGACCCTGCATTTACTATATTTGGTCTCTCACAGTACACAAAACATGGAAATGTAATTGTTTTAGTAAATATAAACTGCTAAATACCTTTTCCCATCTGCAGTATATAGCAGTCTTGTGACTTATATCAGTGTCCAGCTGAGCAATGGTTAAAGCTTGTAGGAGGAGTTTTTTTTATTCTCCACTGATTGTCGTATGAGGCATTAAAACCCCTAACCCTCAGTCTGGACAGTGCTGATTGGCCCTGTGCTGATCAAATACACCCTCCCCAAAAAAAAAAAAAAAAACTCCTCTTGCAATACACACCAAACTGAGCATGAGCAGCTTGCCCCCAAGGCTCTCTTCTATCAGCAGATGGATTGGGGACAGTAGAAGGGGAGGATCAGAGAAGACAGGATCAAACAGCCTTTTTACACAATGCAGAGGATTAACCCCTTAGGTTCCACAGTGAGTATAACAAGCATGCTTTACTGCATATACAGACTGATTGTACTGTTGTGGGTTTAGTAACACAGACAGCCAACCCTTACATTCTGTGGTTCATGTTGTACAGCATTTTAGATTTAAAATATGTATTTCTAAGGCTGTTGCTGATTTTTCCTAACACTTTTTTTTCCCCCCTTTCTCTCTCTCTCAGCGCTCCTCACTAGCTCCTCTGATCGCTCCCTTTTTGAAAAAGTCCCGGCCAAGTGTAAATACAGCCATGGTGAATGATAATGTAAGTAAGAGCATCGGCAGGGTTACCCGGGGCTGTGAATTTGGTCACTCTTTGACCCTCCAGCAAGTGAAGGACTAATAGTCCAAGGTGGTTTTACGGGGTCTTAGTCCCCATTAGGGGAATTTTCCTCGCTTCCTGTCCTGGAGACACAACACCTAGTAAAAGGAAATCTCTGCAATCTGTCTTTAAACTAGAATTAAAGACTTTGTTTTCATTTTGGACAATTTTTTTTTTTCGGGGGGGGGGGGGGGGGGGGTTAGGTTTTTTTTTTTTTTTTTTTTGTTTTTTTTTTCATTTGTGTCCCATTCAGTTGATTTCCTATCACTTCCTGCCCCATAGCCAAAACACAGGAAGTGAAAGGAAATCCCTCCAAACTGAGGGAATCCCCACCCAATCTAGTGTCCCCATTGGAAGATTCCCCCTCTACTCCTGTTCTGGTGACAACCCAAAAATTTGGCATTTTCTTTCTTCTTTCAAAAATGTGTGTTGCACGTTTGCAGTGCCATTATTTGTTATTGGCATCACAAACACGCAAGTCTCAATGAAAAAAAAGGTACTTTTGTCAGCTCATTGAGGCTGCATTCATATCTGAGGGTTTCATAAATGCGTGCTGTGGAGCCAGGGGTGGACTGACCATTCGAGCACTTGGGCCCTGGCCAAGGGCCCAAGGACAGTAGAGGGCCCCATGAAATGCCCCTGGTACTTTTTTTTTTTTTTTTCTTTTTTTCATATAGGCTTTTTTGGGTGTGCTTTGTGTGGGCAAGGACACGGGCCCCATGATCCCCTATAGCCCGGGGGCCCCATGAGTTGTCAGTCCGCCCCTGTATGGGGCCATTCATGGTTACAGGAACTAGTCTCCTACCCAAAATTTTAATAAATATCCTCTTGATTCTTAAGAATCGCTGCATCTAATGTGGGTATTATTATACATGTCCATATAATATGTACCTGCTGATCGGCTGTGTCCAATCACAACACAGAGCCCTGTGTTGACAAGCCACACAGAGCTCTGTACAGAGGAAATGATTGCTCTGTTTCTTCTCCCTTCTAAGCAGGAAGAAGAAACAAACTTTTTTAGTAAAAAGCAGCACATAATACACACATTACACATAGTTGGGCACACCTTTAACCCCTAGATGTCAACCCCTTCCTGCCCAGTATCAGTAGTACAGTGACTGTGTATAGTATTAGCACTGATCGCTGTATGAGTGTCGCTAGAGATGTTGGTGTCCGTCATTCCCCCTGTGTCAGATTGCCCACTGCACTGTCACAGTCCCATTAGAAGTTTACTGACCAACGGTATAAAAAAAAAAAAAAAACTATATATATATATATATATATATATATATATATATATATATATATATATATATATATATATATATATATATATATATATATATATACATATATATATATAATTATAATATATTTTTTTGTTTTTTAATACCGTTGATCAGCAAACGTCTAGTGGGAATCAGATAGTGAGATAGAGATATATATCTCTATCTATTATAAATAGAAAAGCAGTAATTATACCACAGTTTGTAGACGCTATAAATTTCATGCAAACCAATCAATATACACTTATTGGGATTTTTTTTTTTTTTTTTTTTTTTTTTTTTTTTTTTTTTTTTACCAAAGATAGAATGCAATTTGGCCTAAATTTATGAAGACATTTTGTTTTATATTAGATGGGTTTTATAGCAGAAAGTGTATTTTTTTTTTTTTTTTTTCTTCAAAATTTTCAGTCTTTATTCATTTATATAATAATAAAAAAATATGTAACCCAGTGGTGATTAAATACCACTAGAAGAAAGCTCTATTTTGTGTAAAAAAAAAAAAAAAAAAAAAAAAAAATTAATTTGGGTTTAGTGTTGCATGACCGCACAATTACCAGTTAGAGTAGTGCCGTGCTAAGTGGCAAAAAAATGGCCTGGTCATCAAGGTGGTAAAACCTTTCCGAAGCTGAAGTGGATAATGAACATAACTTTAAAAAATAGGTGAAGATATGCTTTTAATGACTCCCCAAATACAGCGAGCAGACATGCGTTTTTTTTGCTCAAGGTTAAAAAAAAAAAAAAAAAAAAAAAAAAGCGAAGCTCAATGCCAAAAAAAGTATATGAACTATATGGTGCGTTTGGCAGCTCATTGAGGGTGCATTAACATTATTATTATACAGTATTTATAAAGCACCAATAGTTCGCTCAGCGCTGTACATTACAAAGGGGGACAGAACATGTGACAGAACAAACTTTTTTAGTAAAAAGCAGCACATAATACACACACATCTGAGCATTCACAGCCCAGCCCAAAACGCATGTCGCAGTTGTGGTGTCATTGATTGTTGAAGACACCCCAAATGTGGCAAGCAGACGTGGTTTTTTTCAAGGTGAAAAAAAAAAACTTGCAAAGCTCAAATCCCAAAAAAGGTACATGAGCTTCCGTTAATATATTTGTCACATGTAGGGCAGACCATTGAAATTAATGGACTGGCCAGTGCAATGGGTGCAAAAAAAGTGTGCAAAAACGCGCATTCACGAGACGCGGTCACTGGTTTTTCTTTGACCTACAAGAAGGTCGCCCACCCTGTATAGGTGATAGGTACACAGTATAACTGACTGTGACTTCAGAGTCGGCTTGCGGTTCCATGTTTTATATCTTCACAGATCAATTTTCTTTTGTCTTCCTGCGAAAAGCCAGATTCACTAAACTATAATTATCCTTTGCCGTAACAATAGTTATTTTCAGAGATGTGAGCTGAAAATAGTCATCATTGTGGCAAATAATATCTATTATACCCTCCCTCTAATAATGCATTATCCCCCCCCCCCCCCCCCCCCCCCCAGAGGAGCAATGTACTTTTCAAAAGGTGCGTGCGTGCGTGCGTGCGTGGTGCGTGCGTGTGTGTCAGAAAAAAAGAGTGTAACAAAAAAAAAAAAAAAAAGGGTATGTATATCTTTTAGTTATTAAAAAAAAGAACCATTATTAACCACCTCCCGCCCGCCATATAGTCCAATGACGGACACAAGGCGGTTCTCTCGTTCGTTCTCTCTCATTCTCACCGCACATACGCGGCTCAGGGAGTTCGCGGTGGTGCACTGTGTCCATTGGACACAGCGGATCACCGATCCACGGAAAGAGCCGAAGATGTCGTCATGTCACAATCACAGCTGATCGCATGTAAACAGGGAAACGGTCCAATCACAGCTGATCACATGTAAACAGGGAAATGCCGGTTATCGGCATTTCTCTCCTCACGAGTTGTCACTCTGACAGAGGAGAGGAGAGCCGGTAATCTGCATTCCTCAGAGGGGACATCTACACTGATCATCAGGGCACTGATGATCAGTGTGCCCTGATGATCAGTGTGGCCCCAGAAGTGCCACCTGTCAGTGCCAGCTGTCAGTGCTGAACAGTGCCACGTATCAGTGCCACATCAATGCCACATATGTGCCCATCTGAGCTGCCTTACAGTGCCACCTATCAGTGCCCGTCAGTGCTGCCTATCAGTGCCACCTAACAGTGCCAGTCAGTACCGCCTATCAGTGCTGCCTTTCAGTGCCCATCAGTGATGCCTGCTCATGCCCATCAGTGCAACCTCATCAGTGCAGCCTATCAGTGCCCATCACTGCAGCCTCATTATTGCACATCGGTGAAAGAGAAAAATCACTTATTTACAAAATGTTAGAACAAAAACTAAGAAAAAAATTTTTTTTTTTCCCCAAAATTTTCAGTGGTTTTTGGTTTAAGAAAAAATAAAAATCCCAGAGGTGATTAAATACCACCAAAATAAAGCTCTATTTGTCACAAAACAATGATAAAAATTTCATATGGGTACAGTGTTGCATGACCGCGCAATTGTCATTCAAAGTGTGACAGTGCTGAGAGCTGGAAATTGGCCTGGGCAGGAAAGGGGGCAGAAGTGCCCGGTAGGCGAGGGGTTAAACATCTGTAATTCTTCACAGCCAGACTTCAGACTGAAAGCAAAGGTTTCAGCACGCCGTACCCAATCAGGTTTTATTCCATAGCACAGTGCAGTCAGTCTAACACTGTACATCCTTACAGGAGGAGAATAATACTTTTTCAATGTGCTGTTTAGTTGTCCATTCACTTGGCTTGACAGCTGAGTGACACCACTATATTAAAGCAGAGTAATATTTCACATGCTGCTTCAGGGGAGATCAGACTCCACACTGCACAATCACATCTCAGGTGCTGGCTCCGCTTACCCCTGAAGCCATCAATTGTACCAGCAACAGGAATGCTGCATATCGAGAAGCAAAATATTATTCTTTCTTTTATTAAAATAGCCAGCAGGAGCCAATTCTATCCTGACATGTTTTGCACTAGTCAGTGCTTTCTCAAAAAATATTCAGCTTTTAATTTAGGGATTCACCCCCGCGACACTTTTTTTTTTTTTTTTCTGCCACTAGATGTCCTCAGTCTGATGCCCAGCATCTTTCAACCACTTCCTCTGAGCGCAGTTCATCCTGGACAATTCCTGGTGTTCCTGCCGGTCCCTCTGCTTTCCTTTTTAAAAACTAACCACACTGCTCTCCTGTCTAGTGTGGTCAGTTTTTAGCGGTGCTGTGAACTTGGCTTGCTCTCCTCCAATGATCAGGCTTGTGCTGACACCCCCCTCCCTCTGTACAGCCATTCACTAGGAAGACCAGTGTGCTGCTGTTTTCTCTTCCCCCAGCTCCCAGAGCAATATATGCAGCTGAGAACAGATGTTATGGGATCAGGGCAGGTGCTTCCACTAGGCAAACTAGGCAGCTGTCTAGGGTACACTGCCACCTAGGGGTGCCTGGGTGCAGCAGCTGGCACACTCTCTCTGTGCGTGATGCCTCCGCGTCATGAATGATCCTTCAGCTGAGGGGAGAAAGAAAGGACAGAGGAAGATGTGGGTGTCTGGGGCCAGTGTAGCAGCTGAGCTGCCGCTCCATCCAGTGTTCTTCCCAGACTCAGTCCCTTTACTGCAAGCCGGCTGGTGGCTGCTGATCACTTTGGAGTCCCAGCCCAATCATCAGCGGAGGCGGAGCAAGGCAATGTCTCCCCACAGATACTGTCCTTCCGGGACTATGATTGTGTCTTTAATATTGGCACTGGTGGCATCTTATGGCACTTATTTTTGCAAATTAAAAGAAATTTAGCAGTTTCAGATTTGTTGATATAATCATTTCTACTGATTTTTTAAAAATTATTAGGGGGGGGGCGCAAGTAGTTGGTCTTGCCCAGGACACAGCACCGGCTAGCCCCCCCCCCCCCACTTTTCTTATATCTATACACAAATGTAATGGGATGGGGTGACCCCCCCAAAACAGGAATGGTTTTACAGGTGGAGGCCACACTGACATTTTTTTTCCCTACTCATCTTTTCTGACTGTTTTTTCTCTAGTTTTGCATTTGGCTAGGGTCGGTGTCACTACTGGTAAGATGAGGCCATACCTGGACCCAACAGAGGTTGTACAGGCAGCC